ACATTTCTATTTTAATTTGTTTGACATATTAAATAAAAATGCAAATTATTCTAAGAAATATTATAGGAATCATACTAATAGAATTTTATGTATATTATGAACTGCGTATTTATTAGATCGTGTAGATGCGTACTAATAATATAAATAATTATAAATTTTGTATTGATTGTACATTACATTTTAACTACTTAAAAAATATAAAATTTATTCTTAAAAATCATAAAAAAGTGTACACTAACCCACAAACTATATCTGTTATATTATGTTATGTGAGTATTAATAAATCGGTGGAAATCGATTTGGAATAAAATATTTCAGATGCATACTTATGAGTTCAACCTGCTAAACGAAAAAAAAAAAAATGTATTTTATACAAAAAAGTCCAATAATTATTTTCGAGTGATTCGAATGCACGGTGTGTACAAACGGTTTTAAGTGGCGCATTAAAGTTCTCAAAAGTGCACGGTAATAACACAAATAAATCACTTATATGAGAACTGAGAATAAAACAATGTATTTTCTTTATGATGGTATATATATATATCTCCAGAGAAAAGTAATTTTGCACTGTAATGTATCTTAATGCCTTAATAGACATTTTATACGAATGAAAAAATCTAGAAACGTAGTATTTTAGTTATTGCCTACGTGCTATATCTTACATACAATAAACTATAAATCATGTTACAGTAATTTTATTTATTATCACTTTCAATACCTTTAATAGTGTTTAAAAAATGTTTTTTTGATTATGTTCAATACATTAGTATACAACATAGTCGTTCCATAGTTTGACTCATAGTTTTTAGTACAATATAATATACTATTAATACTTATATTATGTAATGTATATTTTATATTACTATAATACAAAATAATTTAAGCAAACATGTTTATTATACTTAATAGTATGTTATATTTATTTGTACAGAAGATTACCATTCTTGTCAGCTATACTGTTATAGATATGTAGAACGGATGTACCTATAAGCCTTGAAACATACATATTAAACATAGATATTTATAATTTTTTTAAACTACGTTAATATAATATTTATTTAATTTTTTTTAAAGAATAGTTTTTTGAACTTAAAACCATATTATATTTTATACATGGACTGAAATTTTTAATTTAAAGCAGTATTGATTAAGTATGAGTTCACGTCAAATGTCATCGTATTTTATTAGTTTCGATCTGTAGATTGTAAGATGCATATATGTATACCACTAGCTAGTATGATAAAAAATCGAATTTGGTTTTATATATTAAGTGATGACCTGCTAATTGCATAATAATAACTTAAAATGTTACTAACGCCCCAAGCTAGTCACAGCTGTTTACCTAAATTACTTTGAATCTATGACAGTGAAAAGAGCTTTTAAAAGTCTATGACATGTCATAAAACGAATTTAAGTTTTTTAGAAGCCAAAGTTAAAAATGAGTTCACCGGTACAACTTAATTGCATCTAAAAAAAGCAATCATAAAGTCTTCAGAAACGCCCTTTCCTGTGTCTGTCATGTCGAAACGACATAACCTTTTATATTTTTTTTTTACTTTTATAACGTATAATGTTGTCCATTTTTTTCTCAGGAAGATCCGACAAATAAAAAAATACACATGCTTAAAGTGTAGTTATTATAGTGTTTTTGAAAAATGCATCATTTTTATTCGAATAGGCACTAACTATATATAATAATAAAAATATATTACACACAGATACACAGTGTACAATTATTATTGTTTAAAATATGTATATATTTAAAATAATGACAAATTCAAAGAAGAGAATAAAAATTAGTTTATTATACAGGAATTTTATTGAGAAAATAAAATAAAATTTAATTATCTTAAAATTAATTAATAATATAGGTAGCATGTTGTAGCACGTATTAATATGTTATTCATAGCATTATTATAAATATTTAAAACTGATGAATCACCTATTTCAAATTTAGTTGACATTCGATTTTTTCATGAAATTAATTTTGATAAAACGAATCTATATGAAGTCATTATATATTTGGCTTAAAAAGGTACGCTCAGGCAAATCAATATCACGTAATTGACATTTATATATAATATTGACATTATACATCATACGTGACTTGTGCAGCGGTGGGAGCTTATAGAATTCAGTTATTATAATATAAATAGTTGTCTACCAGGCAAATAGTATTTTTTTGGGGGAATTATAATAACATGCATTAAAAAATATATTAAAAATTAATCATTGTAGGATAAAATAATACCACTAAAACGAACGCATTATGTTATGTTCAATATAATTCTGGTGTATTAGTCTAGTCAATTATATGTATTTAGTTATATATTACGAGTATATAATATATAATATACACAATTATAATAATAAAAAAATTTACATTATTAGGTTTTCGAAAATCTCAGTTATGTTTGTTTATATATATATATATATATATATATATATATATTATTTTATTAAAATGTATTCTGCGGTTGAAAAATGTAAATCCTAAAACCTAAATAAGACAAAATATGATGTATATGTTTTGAATAATATTTCAAATATTTTTTATCTCTCTATGAATATTTTTAAAAATATAAATAATAAATTACATGGTACATTAAGAAGTCTTAAAAGAAACTCATACAAAAATCAGTTTGTCGTGTGTACATTTTTGTTTAGTATTAAAAATGCATCTCAAGTGAAATCTTAAATCAGTTTCTATAACTATTCAATAGAATTTTATAAATATTGAGTATACAAATTATAAAATAAATTCAAACATTGTAGTATTAAATAAAACCAATGTCATTTATGTTTATTAAAAGTTTCATGTTTAGAAATTTAAATTAAACGTAGATATTTACAGTGTATCACAGTGTATCTAAAGTAATAAACTAATAATTGGCTTTGGTTTTTTTTTTTTTTTACTCATATGTAAATAAGAATAAAATAAAATAAAATTGAAATTTTTATTCTCTTAAGGGATTATTATAAATAATCTTTTTAACTTTTTTCTTGTACAACATTTTGGATAATTTAATAATCTTTTACTCATTTGTGGAGTATCATTTAATGATACAAACGAATAAAATATAAAAAGAAAAACTTAAAAATTAAAGACATTAACAAAAAAAAAAAAAAGTTGAAATGAATATTTTAAATACTTCAATTGAATTAACTGAATAGTTCTGTAGAAATTTTAAAATCAGAATATTGAAAGTTGAATACTTCTGAAAAATATGATGCTTTTAATAAATGTCACCGATGTGCTGCCATTTTGCCATTTTTTTTTTTTTTATAAAAAAGTATTCTACTCAAACATATTAGACAGATGTTATTAACCAGTATAGCTTTTTTAAAATAAAATATACGAATAAAATTAAACTTGTCCATAATATAATAAGATAATGTTTAATTTTGTTTTTTAACAATGACCAGAACATTTTGATTATTTAATATTTAAAATAAATTGAATATTATAAAGTAATACAAAAATAAAAATCATGATTTATATGTAAACTATCTTAATATTTTTTTTTTGAGTTTTTTCCTATTTATAACAATATTGGTTGTATGTTTATACCGAAAATCATTTACCTAATACCCTAAACTGCTATAAATAATTATTAGAAGACTTCCAATGGAAAATAAAACGATAAAAAAAAATGTCCGTAATTTAATTTCATCTCAAGATAACTTCCTAGTAGACCGGTACCTTTATTATTACTTAGGTAAGGAAAGTATTGGGACTTTTTGCGTCTTTAATATAACCCTTGAGACACGTCGTCTGCGACTTGTGCAGCCATTTTCGTACAGTTGGCAGATTTTATATTCTATGGGGAATTGATGACATTCAATAACACACAAACACACATATTTTGTACACTACATATTATATGATATGAAATCGTTATACAAATAAGTAGAAAAATTAATTTTCTTTTGGTAAATAAGGAAAAACTAAATAAAATTATAAATCAGATCTATTCTATAAATCATACATATTTAACTGAAAATATAACATTATCAAACACAATTTACATATTATTTTAGATTTATATATTTTATATATATTGTTAATTTTGATTCAAAGGACAAAGCGCGCATATAAATGTGTATGCATTTATAAAGTACGACATTTTTAATTACGAGGTAAAAAATTAAAAGTGCCTATTGAAAACAATTGAAAAAATATTATGTACCTATATTATATATGTACTTTTTTATAGATAAAACAAATTTGAAAATACATCATATATTGTGCAAACTATCACATTCCAAATATTAACATGTTATATTCAGACTATTTCAAAAAATTAAAAAAGCTACAATTAGAAATAATAAAAATTGTTGTTGTTTATCATTCTACAGTGATTTCCAAGGAAAAATTAATGCGTACAATCGTTCAAATGTTTTCATAATATATTTTTGGAATATTTTATCTTTTTGTACAAATAGCCAAATGATTCCATAAACAACCGATTTTCAATTAAAATGTTTTGAGAGGTAATGGAATTACGTGGCTGTTGTGGTAGTGTTTAACATTTTTTTTTCACAGTCATGTTTAATAGGATTCAATTTCTTTCTACATATAGTATACTGCTAATATATTAATCTTATCTAACCATAAACAATGTATGTAAATAATATTACATGGTCTGTCCTCTAGTTTGTGCGTTTGTGGTTTATTTTTTTTTTCTATCGTGAATTTTGTTAGAACACTAATGGCAAATGTTGTATGTTAGTTATTTTGTAATATGTGGGTATTATGTTTTCACCCATGCTTTAGTCACTAAATTTTAGAGTTTTATGCTACCAAATAATAATATTCACAACACGTTCACGCGGTTGCGTGTGAAAACTGTACAATTAATTGGGCACATTTTATAGAAATATATATTTTCTGATTTATTATTACACAGATTAATTTTAGTTGTATCGAAATGTAAAATCTGAATTATATTAATTACTAATGGGTTCTAAAGCATAAGACAAAATATTCAAATACGTACCATCCAAAATAGAGTCTCGTTCGCAAACCCGGAATATTCGTCGATCGTTGATAGCACGCTGAAAATCAAGCATACCAATACAACCATGAACCTGTAACGTATAAAAAAACTCGTTAGTTTTCATATTATATAAATAATTATGGTATTGATATGCGAATAGAATCGTGTTAAAGCTTTATTTGTCTGATCATAACGTTTTTTTTCTCATCAAAAGTTCAAAATACGTTTCTGATAAATTATGAATAACTTTAAGACGTTAATAAAAATGTATAATTCGGAATATAATATGTACATCATATGTAAATCATATGCGCAACCAATATATATATATGTAATTATTAAAAGATTTCGTCACGTAGATTATTCGATTCACTTTTGACGTAGGCTTACACATTTTATGTCACGAACGTAGTAATATTAATATATGAATATAATAATCCGGTCGATATTGGCACGAAATTTTAAAATAAACAAACTCTTGTGGTTTTGATTTTTGTGCATAATGAGTTTTTAAGTAAACACTTTACGAGCGATTATATTAAAACAGAGTTTATTTTTGATCGTGTTTGTTTGCAAGTTTTTGTCGCAAAGCACTGATTGAAAATCATAATGGCGGTATAGTTTAACGGTGGTTAGATTAACTTTAACGTGGTTTTCACAGTTTATCATTGTGTTTGAATACAAGATATTCGCTTGCTGCGTCATTGAAAAAATAAAAATTGTTGACTTTATTGTAATAATATTATCTAGGTATATATTTATATGTATATATCCCGTTATATACTAAAATTACCGCATATAAACACTATAAATAAATAAAAAACGACCACCACGTGTACATAAAATTCTCCGAAATCATAAAATATCGTAATTTTTAAATTTTGTTTTTTTTTCTGTAAATATTTAACATTTAACTATCGTGTATTTGCATGCTAACTTTTGAAAATTGCATGATTTGAATTAAGCGTAAAAATCAAAAACCAAGCGAATGGTTATAGATGTTGAATCTTTATATTGCTTTGCCCATAAATATATTTCCAGTTAAAAACCATTAAAAAATCAGTGAAAATCGGAAAAAATATATTTATATGGAATGTAAATTTGTGTGATTGTGTGAACATTTATTTTTGTATATGATTTCCTGTTTTCTATATTTTTAATATATAAATAGTAATATCAAATTAAATGCTTAATATAATAGTAGTAGCAATTAAATTGAAATTAATTACTACGTCATACTAGTTAAATTAAATTATATATTTAGTTATTTATTTATTATTTTTTTTATTACAATTGGTGAATTTTGATTGAAATTTGAAGTGATATTCATAGAAAAATATTTCTATGTAGACTGCATTAATATAACACTAAATTGTCTCGTTAGCAGAAAGGATGTTGAATACGTTTTCTACTTCACTATCTTTAGTTATTTTTATGTATACTGTGACAAATGGTTAAAAATGTCAAGAGTTCACTAGTATGGAATTTAACAAAGTCTGACGCGCGTTTCAACGTCCCCGCGATAAAACGTCTGCCTCGAATGAGTGGATCACCGTCCGCCGTCGACATCCTCAGAAAATTTGTTACCCACATTTAGGGCTGGTAAATTATATTATTTTATTATTTTAATGGTCGAACGAGCGTGGTTGGCAGTTCGACGAAATCATCATTGCATAAATTTATATAAACGTATCCACCCAAAGTGCACCGGATATGTTTGACGATGATGCATATAATATTAATATCGTAATGATAGTGTCATATTATATTATCATATTCTGCACCGCCATCACATACAGCATTTGATTTTAATGTGTAGTCACTAGTAATAAGTGGAGATTTAGTCAAATTTTTGAAAGCGAGGGGGGAGGGCTTAATTTATTTTAAACAATGCTTAGACTAGCATAGACAAGGTAAATGAATTAAAATTAACACTACCATTCCCATACATTTTTAAATGTTTAGTACAATTTATCTTAAATATTATTTATTACATAATAAAACAATAATACATAACCATACAATAACATGTATATTTAATTAAAGACAATTTTAGAATATTTATAACTTTTTAATTTTTATCAAAGATGTTTAATAACATAAAATATTATTATTTTTGGGTTGAAATGAGTTGGGATAACAAGTGAAAATTTAATTAAATATTTTATTAATTTACTTAAAAGTGAAATGTTTCATTTTGATGTTTATACGATTAATGTTTTTGTTATTACAATAAAATAACAAAAAATGTTTGTGAAAGTATCGTCAGACATAAACAGGGAATTTTATAAAATATTATATAGTTGATAATTCCACTCTTTGACGAAAAATCAGAAACGAGCCCAGGTTTATTTTCATTGTTATTAGTAAACGATATTTAGTTATTATAGTATGGATATATTGAATTATTTATTTATTATATTACTTTAAATTCATGCAGATTATATTATGAATATGATTTGTAATTTATTAATATACAGTTACAAGCTATGAAAGACTGGACTGTTTGCTAATTACCCCATATAAATATATAAAGTTATATTGTATTCTGATATTTGAAACTTGCAAGCGTTAGATATACATACTATAATATATGATTTTGTCAAAAAATAAACAATCAGTGTCATAGTGATGAGATTATTTTATTATTGTAGACGATAATTTAAATTAAGTGAATTTAAAAAACAGCTTTACTACAAAACATTTTCGGTTGAAAACTTACAGGAATGTTTGTTCACTTCGTAGTTTCTCAATAATAAACCACTACAAAGTATACCAAATAAGTTTGAATTTCTTTATATTTCAAATCTAATCAATATAATTTAATAATAATAATATTATACATTTTTAAGTGTAATAAAATTCATTCTGATTAAAAAAAAGTAACAATAATAAAATGAATGAAATTATTTTTAAAAACTATCAGGTACTAAAGGTACTTTATTAAATCATGAAAATAAATTTATTTTTAGTTTCAAATAAAATAAAAGATGAGTTAGAACTCTTATTCAGGTTTAGTATTCTGAAACTAATTTGCAGTTAGATAGTTGTATCACATGTTGTTGTAAGTAGTATATTATTTTAATTATTATATAAAACGAATAAAACGAAAAAATAAAAAATAAAAAACACTTAATATTTTGAAAAAGTTGCAAAAATTAATTACTGTATACTTTACTAACCAATTTTATTTTATTATTTTGTTGTAATTTAAAAAATAATAATATTATAACTCTTGTTTTTTATGGTTTATTTATATATATCAAATAGTATTTGAAATATATTATTATATTTATAATAATTTGAAAATTTAATTTGCTGCATTTTAGTAAATCTAAATTGTTTTTGTATACCATGATGTATCACAGTTATAATAATAATACAGAGGGTTGTGAGAAAATTGTGGTGTGAAAATAATACAATTCATAGCACGGCGTATCAAATAGGCAATATAGGTACATGTTTTCTTTGTGTAGAACATCTAAAAATTATCATAATTTATAACCTTTTTGCGATATCTCATACAATGCAATACAATACAATATTATGTTGAGTGATACATTACATTTTTAAAATTACTTCTGTGTTATCTTTGATAAAGTTTGATAATAAAATATATTTTTTTAAATTTACATTTTCAGTGGATTGAAAGATTTTTAAGATTTTATAAAACAAATAAATTAGTAAATTGGAAGGACGAATCGTAAAATATCTCAAGATTTTCGAAATAATCTATATACATTATACTTATTTATTAAATACACATAGTTTGATAGTATATTGGTTGAAAAATTAATTTAATTTTCAAATCGTTTACGTCAACATTTATAATATCGATGACAAACTTAATTGTCTACATTATTTATCTAAAACATAGATAGGGGTAAATTTGCGTATATAAATATAAACGTGTAAGCTATTCTTGTGAACAGTTCAATGGAAGCTATTGTATATATAATATTTATCTAAATTAGGCACATTTGTAATATATCATAATAAATTATGAATACAAATACAAATAAATATAATTTGTTTTTTATGACAAGCATATTAATATTAAAATCTATTTGTCTTGAGATGTTCTAATATTTTTATATACACTTAACTTGATACTTTTTTGATGTGGGTATTGCAGTATGTCACGGGGATAAAAAAAAATTAAAAAATGAAAATAAATTCCTCATCTACCATGAGGAACGGAACCTGCAGGTATTAATATCGTTGGCCAAATCCTTTTCATTCGCATTTCTCCCGTTATCCATTAGCGCAGAATTATAAAAGTTGTGGCAGTGCATATAATAATATACCGGAGGTGGTGTCTCCGGATGGGCGCGGAACATAATACGTAGGGCAAAGTCAGGTCAAAATTAATTACATCTGTGCAAACGTATACGTTTAGTTTTTTTCATTTACAAATCGTTATTGCTTTCCATTTTTTCATTCGTGATGTCCGGTAATATTTCAATTCCGCGAAAATATGACAACGTGCATATATGGCACTAGCTATTATTAAAGTTATACTCCGTTTGTGTCTATTTGATATTATAATAACTTTTACTTATATTTTTTATTGTATTTTAAATGTGGACAAGCGGTCATGTTAAATAAATGAAGTGAACGAGAATAATTACGTTTTTGGTAGTATATTTTTTTATAATAATTATTATGTGGTTCCAAACTGTTGATAAATATGAAATATTCATTAGTATACACGCGCATACATTTATATATTTCAAATTTGATATATATGTATAATATATATTTATTTATATACACATACATAGACAAGCGCAAAGGGTTAAAATAAAGGGTTTGTTAAAGTCACGCGGAATGTCAATATAAGCTTTTACGAAAATGCGTTTTATATTTTTTGTGCATACTTTTATATTGTATATCATATATAGTGGCTGACAAGTATTTTCGCACTAACACGCTAACACGCGACGACAGCGATGACGATGATGACAAAAAACGTTGGTAGAGTAAGAGATTTTGATTTGTTTTGTTTCATTTCTTAACAAAATTTATCGTACCGTAATAAATAAATCGTGCACTGCCGTTTCTCCCGTTCGTCGTTTTAGCTTTAATGTT